TTGTTGCTGTTGTTGTTGCTGGCCCACTACTGTCCATTCCACATTCACACTTGGCTATTTACCTGTTTGCGCGTAGTTAAAACGCCGCTACTGTGCCGCCCCCTTTTGCCAACGCTATTTAGTACAACATTTACATGGTCGGGCGCGCTTGTAATTTATGATATTTTGCCGCTTATTTTAATTTTTTGTTAGACTCATTTTCATGTTTTTACGATGTGATAAATGTCTAATTTTTTGCAGTTACGCTTTGCCGGCTTTATGTTATGAATTGGTGAATGTGTGTCTATATAGTATGTGTCTGTGTGTGTGTCTGTGTGTGAGCTTGGCACGTGATTTATGTAAATAGATGCTACTGAACAGCGGCTTAATATGTTTTAGAGATTTTGTTTGTGAGTCACAACAGTGAGAAACTTAGCATAACAGGAAATTATAGAAATTCTAATGATTAAATGCAAAAAAAATAGGAGAGATGGAGAAAGGAAAGTTCGTTGTAGGGGCACAACTTTTTACATATTTTGGATTAGATATTCGTATATATAAACATCTGAAGGAAAATGGGCAACTTCAGGTCGCGCAACGTAGATTACTTGTAGGAGCTGCTCCATATATCCATCCATTTGTAGTTTCCATTTGTGTTACCTTACAACGAAAATAGCTAGTAGGTGTAAGACTAGTCCAAACAGTTACACTAGAAGGGAAAAAGGGTATCTTAGGCTTTTGCAAAGTATACATAAAGTATAACAGGCAAAGTGCACTTTTGAATATTGCCTAAATTATTTTGAACTACCTTCAATATAGACGATAATTAGGGTATGGTGTCCAAGACTAAAGATTACACAATGGTATAACCTGACATTAAAAGTTGTAAGAATTCTATTTAAGCTGCTTACAAAAATTGCTGCATGATAATAAACCTGAAGTCAATGCAGACAATCGACTTATAAAGTGATATTATAAATACGTTCAGCGTTATTGGATTATTTCCAGATATACTAATGCTTGTAGCAATATTTTGAGCACCCTTTTTTGAATTTGTCTATCTTTAGCGCAAAACTGGAAACGAAATGCAGAGCATGTCTGAATCAGACTTCCTAATTGTTAGTTGGCAATGAACTCGATTCCAAATGCCGTTGACATTCTCGGGAGAAAATCATATAAACACGAGTAATTTGCGATTGGTATTTCCAGCGCATGGAAAGTGCTAATGAACTATCATTAGAATCCGCACAAAGACACGCGCCACTCACACGCACAAGCATGAACATGAACAAGCATGTATGTATCTAATTAACAATCAATCAGATTTCTCTGTCATGGCAAAGCCCAATCATTAGCTGTTCGACTTAATGTCTTTGCAATTTCCTATGAAAAAGATCACCAACTAGCTGGCTGGCTGGCTGGCTAGCTGGCGAGCGATCGAAATCTCGATTGCGATCGAGTGTGGCTTCGATCACGAGCTTATAACGGTTGTCGACGTCTGCATGTCTACCTGTTTGGTCGGTCGATCGAATGAGTATGTGATTATCAATTTTGATATTGAAACAAATGCAAAAAAAAAACGCATCGATTATTATGCTCGTATGTCATAACTTTCAATCGAAACCACATTCGCCTCCGTTCGAGTGGCTGTTGACTGTTGTTGGCGGTTTTACGAGCAGTCTTGGATAATTTGTGCATTGTCTTGGCCATTTGCTTTGGTCACTTAGCGATACAGTTTCTCATCAAGGCCGCTGCGAAAGAGAATGTGCCACCGTGCAGAGTGTTGGCCAAGTTTTCTCCCATAAAATAAATGTTAACATTAATGTTTATTGTGTAAGTTTTACTTACCTGTATGTAACCTGTGTGTTGGCTTATTATCAAAGTTTTTTGTGCTTTTGTTTTTGTTTTTGTTTTGGGTAAATTTGTGCCAGCATCTCCACCTTCATACAATATTTTAAAGAAGCTCAAAAGCTGGCCTCTGGTTTGTAATTAAAGCGCACGGATCGTTCAAGCAAGTGGCAACAACGCTTTATGGCACGTAGTAACCAAAGAAAGAGCCCAAGCTCATGTTAAATAAATCTTGTAAATTACATTGAAGGTTCATGTCATGTTTAGGTTTAGGTTTTACGGCAAGTTGTTTGTTGTTGCTCTCCATGTTCTTCCGCATCTCATTGTCGTGGCTTTTATGGCCTCAGAAGTTGGTAGCAGGCTGCTCGACTATAGATGAGGTTCTTGGCTGTTGTTGTTCTGTTGGTGTTGGTGTTGGTGAGGCGCAAAGTAAACAACGTTTTCATGACCTTTTATGGTGATTTGTGGCCGGAAAGTTACTTGAACTGAAGATGAGCTCGCTCAGGCCATATAATGGATAAAAGTTCTTAGTAGTGAGATGTTTAGCCTCATGTTTTTTCTTTTGCTTTGTTTTGTTTTGTTTTAATTCTTACCAGCCATATTGAGTAACCGAGGTGGGCTGGGCTGACGTCTGACGTCTGTGCCTCATGATGTCGATGGAGCCGTAAAATGTGACTGAAATATGACTAACGCTTGACCAGATTAGATAAGAGTTATGGCAGGGCAATGCCTTGACTAAAATTATTGTTGATGCCATTTTACATTTGGATTTTGTGGGTGGTTTTCAAAACGGACCCTTCATCGAGCCATACAGCTAGCACATTACTATTTTCTAATAATGCCTGGCCATACTTCAGTAACTCTATATTTATTATACTCTCAGAAATTTAAATAATTAACAGGGACTGCAAACATTAAAAATAAGTGCTATCATAAATTATTTTATTTTTTAATTTTTTTTATTTTCTAACAATATAATGATTAATTTTGACCAATAAACCAGTAAACATTATTTTTGCATATATAAGATAGATAACATAGATAAACCTAAAATCCCAATCCTCGTTTTCTGAATATTACTATAAGAAAATGATCTTTTCACTTTAAAAAAATCATTATTTGTTGTCCCTGGTTAGAAGATAGTTGCGCTAACTTATATTAAAAACCCTTAAATACCATTAAGAATGATTATTATTAGTTTGACTTTTCCGCTCGTGATTTTCACTCTAACAAGCCTTGACCTGCCTCAAGTAAGTAAATCAACTTATACAATAGCTATAACAGAATTTCTCTTGCCTTTCTTACACAATCTCCACTTCTTCAATCTATTGTCTGCTCCCCGACAATCCACAACCTGCCCCAAGTAACTGCGCATCCGCATCACTAAATTCACGCAAATTTCTTTATTGCTGTTTATGCGAGTACACATCCATTGAAAATTTCTCACGCACCATAAGTGAGTGAAATTGTTGAACAGCAATAACATTAAACAATTACCATGCACGGATGGTAACAATTTATGAGGCCCACCCAAAGGCATACCTCGAAGCCCTCAAAGACATGTGATGTTGTCCGAGTGAAAACGTGATCGGTGATCACTTTTACTTTGGTGTACTGTGGTGTGGAATAGTAGCGAGAGAGAGAGAGAGAGAGTGAGAGTGAGAGGGAGGAGTGTCTCCCCACTGTGGCAGTGTCTATAATCAGGCCCATAAAAAGGCAAGTTGGTCAGCACTTTTCAGTCAACAATGAGACGACAAGTTTGTGATTTTCATTTGCAGTGATCGGCAACACTTTGTTGTTGATGTTTACTATTCATTGCCCATTTCTTAAGCTCCAGAAGCATCAGCTTACAAAAAATGAAATAAAAAGTATATTTGTAACCAAAAACACGCGCAGTATATATCAATTTTAAGCACTTTCTCTGCCAGCGTTGGTTAAAGTGAAGTCATTGCCCAACAGTGGGAGGAATTGGAAATATGGAAATTTAAAATTAATAAGCAATGGGATGATTCGCTTAGCTTAGATAAACCTATACTCTAGAGACATTCCAGCATAGATTGTGATACTTAAAGTCTGAAAACTGTTGTGCATATTTTGTATAAAAATTGAAATCTTCGACATGAAAATGAAGCTTACATTGATCAAGTCAGTATCATCATATATTTTTGGATAATTAAATGATATGCCAAGTTTGGCGTTTAATGAGATGTTTTGTTTCTTTCACAATCGTGTGAAGTTTGAGCGGAATTTGTTAATAAATGTGTGTGTGTTAGCTATTTTTTAGTTGTCTGGCGATTTTTACTTTGGAAATGAAATTGAACAGCGAGTGTGCTTGAGATTTTGCGTTTCCAATGGATGTATTGAAAATGTTGCAAAAATATTTTTTGTGCTATGTTGAAATAAGTCTTATAGCATCTCTTATGGATCAACTGCCTGGAAATTTGGATCTAATGTTGGTCTGTTTCTATTTGCAAAATTAAACCTATTTGGATGAAGATTTGCATTAAAACACATACACAGATATATTGCTCTTTTCGGGTATATTTTGCTGTTTGGTATTACAGATGTCACAATATATCATTTACTAGAACATGACCAAAAGTCAGAGGTAAATAAATACAATGTCAAAAAGGCAATTTTAGATTTTCCGAACATATTTGATGTCAATATTTACATCGTCAGGACACAAGGAATGCCATATTTGAATAAATATTACACTATTTTCAAATACAAAAGACAATTTTAAAATAATGCGTTTATCATTTAAAACAAGTTCGAAAATGAGAATAAATGAATGGATGTGAAACCACAGTTAATGGTCGCGATGTGTTTTCTTCCCACTGTGCATGGCCGACAAATGAAACTAATTGCTTCCGTTTGCAACATTTCACCTTCAATTTCAACAAACAAATAAACCATCTAATTTTCTATGGTAGAAGAAGCCGCAACGACTCGGGCCAAGCATTGTTTTCATTTGGGCGTCCCTCCTGCTTGCCACTAAATGTTGCAATTCTTTTGCGGTCGCTGCGCCTTTTTGTGCAGCTCGCGGTTCAATGAACTCAACGCAGCAACAAATTTGCGTTTATTTTGTAGTGTGTGCGTGTTTTTCTTTCTTTCTTTTTTAACTGCAAGCACTTATGTACATGTACTCGTCTTTGTTTTTGTTTTTGCAGAAATTTGCATTTTCATCTTCAACAAACAGTGCGCAACAAACAGAGGAACAAAATGCTGACGACGACAATGTGTAAACTGCATATAGTTGGCCGCTCCTGCTGATTAGGCTGACGACGACAAGCGACGCTTGCTGCACGCTTGGATGCCAACAACAACAACAACAACAACAGAAACGCAACAAATACAATAAAAACATAGAGCAGGACGAGGGCATTGCAGGAAATAAACAATGACCAGATTGGGCAGAGAATAGTCTGCTCCTAGGCGCCTGCCATTGAAAAGCGAAGCTGCATTTGAGAGCAAACAAAAGGATTGCGAACAATTAAAAGCATCACACAGTGAACACATATATAGAAGGTAAGTCTATACGATAATGTTGATTTTAAAAATAATGTGATATATCTGTACCATATATGGGAAGAAATATTAAGTTTCATGAAAATAGACTAACAAATGCGCTCCATTTGAAGAGACAGTCATCAAAATTTTAAATGTGACTTACAGCTTTCTAACAAGAGAGTTTATAAGCTCTTTAAGGTTTTTGCATCATGGGGTAGCTACTTGTGGGTTCGAATTGCTCTATTTTTGAAATATATTCCTCTTGTTGCGGGCAGAAAGTATTCGTTTCCTTCCAGAGTTTCGTGCAATTTAATTTTTTCACTCCCGTTTTATAGTAGGTAATAATTGCGCCTTCTATTCGCCAGTTAAATGTTTTGAATTCGTCCATGACTAAAAGTATTTTGCATTTATAGCTTCTAATATTAAATTAAAATTAAAAGAACCCAAATTAAATACTACTAATCACACAGTTATTTTCTAAGCTTATCTCAAATTAGCAAAAAAAAAAGCTGTATATTATCCTCTGTTTGTGAGGGCTTAGAGTAAAATTATCAAAGTGTCTTATAATTATGGCAAGCCTCTCTTATATACAAGTATGTGGTCTGATACGCCTGTTATGATTGAACAATTTATAGAAGCTGGCTCCGTGTTTCTAGGTCTATATTGCATACACTCGTACAAGTATTGTATCTATAGTATAATAATTGCCATCGCCAAACAAAAATAAACACCAAAAAGGTTACTTAAAACACTGTGTTTCTAGTCAGTCTTAATCAAATGACATAACTATTTCAATAGCGCCTTCCCTGGCTTATTATCTGGTGATTAGGCTTCAAACTCATTTGCGAATGCGACAACTATTGTGAAATGAATTGAAGAAGCATTCCATTTGTCTTCTCACTTAGCTTTGGCAATAAAAATGTCACAATTGCTCTCGTGTCCTAAAAATCTCAAATCAAGCTGAGCTGATTGACTTTTGTAAGCATGACAAATGACTTGGAAGGCTCCACAAATACTTGTCTACCAATACGAATGCACTCGTTTTGAAACTGCATGGCCCTGTGAGTGAGTGAGTCATGAGAAGCAGCAGCTGCTCCCAGCCTGTCGGCCTACCTGCCTGCCTGACTGCTTTCCTGGTGATGCTTAGTCGAGATGGCGGCACTATTTTTAGCCAACGTTAGGTCCAACCCCAAACAAGGAAAAAACGACAACACATGTTAAGCACAAGAGTGTTTGGATAGCTGTAGTTATGGCATTTTGTCATTTATGGGTCCCCAATCCCAAAAATCCCAGCCCAGCACCACACCACACCAACCACCAGCCCACCAGTCCACCAATCCTCCCCAACGCAACGATGTCTACATGCTGAGCTCAGCATCATCCCAGCATTACAGAATGGGGACCAACTATGCCCAATTTGCATATTGCTGTGCTCACGTGTCACTCGACTCGATGTCGACTAAGTATTACAGTAGAGGGCTATAGCTGCTACACAAATATATACTATATAGTAGTGCTGCGGCGAACGCATTATCGTGGGTAGTATGGGAAGTTTTCAAGGCGTCTCTTTATAAAAGAGGTCCAAAATCTACATCATAATAGAGACTTTTATGAGGTACAGGTCTGCGGAGAGGTTATACCTAATATTTATTTATATTATATCTTAGATATATTGGAACTTACAATAAAAGCAGCTGCTTCGCTATTTCTATTTATTCAAGATTTACAAAGTGTTAATCACATGGGTTTGTTGCGAATTTCTCGCCAAGACTAAAAACTGAACTTTATTCTTAACTTATTATTATTATTTTTTTTTATAATGAAGTACCTATTATTCCCTCAGAGCCCCAATTAATTCACACCTTTTGAAGCGGTTGATCCTTTGAGTTTCTTTGTTGTACCGCTTGGGTATTTAGTAGGCATTTAGTTTTATCGCAGCACAGTACAAATAGTATATTTTAATTATTAAGAACAAAAAGAAGGACGCATTCAATATGAGCAACACTCGACTAACTGTGAAAAAAAGAACAAGAATCAATGGAAGTGAACAAATCCAGCCCATCGATGATAAAGAGAAGAAACCGCAGAACATGCGCTGTTGTGCTTGGGGAAAACGGGAGCCCGGCCAAAGGATGTCGCCCAGACGTGTCAGCAAAGGGGAGGAGGACAAAACAGCAGAAGATTCGGACTCGTCGACCGATGATGAATATCAGGAGTTTGTGGTGTCAGGGAGCACCGAGGCTGTATTGCTTGTGTCATACTTACTCACCTGGCAGAGGGACACTTTCGGTCGTAAGTACATGCACAAGCTGCCAAGCCTGGGGGCCCACAATGTGGCTCTGAGCTCCGACAATTCGACCATAGCTGCCGTCTCAATGGATGGCATACTGACCCTCTTGGACGTTGCCAACGGAGTGACAATATCTAGTGTTTCGCATGCCTTGGTACCCAATTTTTGGTCGACGGCCTTTGGTGGCAGTGCGGATTGCGTCTTTGGCGGCACAGGATACGGGCAGGTTCACATGTACGATACGAAAACTGGCAAGCTCAAGCATAGCTATGATACGGAGAGGCGTGAGAATGTGCTGGGTCTGGCTGTAGCCAGGAATGATCGTTTCGTTGCCGCCAGCGACTATGCTGGCTGTCTAACTCTTTTCGATGCTGAGACTGGCCAGATCGTAAGACAGACGCACGTGGGGAAGCCGATGCGACGTCTTTCTTTCGATCCCGAAATGCGACGATTGTTGGCCGCATGCGATGATAAGACCGTTAAACTATTTAATATGCCCAACGGGTGTCTACACGATTGTCTTATGGGGCACAATAGCCTAGTCATGTCGGTGGACTGCTCGCCAGATGGTACGACTTTTGCGAGTGCTGCTCACGATGGCACCGTCAATATTTGGGATTCCCGCTACACTAAGCTTAACAACACCTATGTCCCCAAGAAAGATGCAAAGCTTTGGGATGTGGCCTTCGCCAAATCGAACAATAAGATAGTATGGGTTGATGAGGACACCGGAATAAACCTCTATTACCTTTAGATGCTACCTTTTAAGTTTTAATCAATGCATACAAGTATTTGTTTGTTCTTTTCTGCTTGTTTCTGCCAAATTGTTGAGTTAATAAATTTAAAGATTGTTCAAAAGGTGGATAGGTTAGTGCTGAGGACATGAAGGTTTGCTATTATGTTACATCTTAAACAGACCTCGCCCGAAGTGTCAGGACCCATTACAAACGTGAATTGTGCTATTGAGTGCCGCCAGAGGGGAGTCAGAAGAACCATTATCCTGCTGCTAGTGTGTGCATAATTAAAGAGCTCGTAGTTTCAAATTTAGACACAATACTTCCCCCACGAAACAAACATACCCATCAGACCGCCACTTACCCAGTTGCCTCGTTACTCAAGTGGGTGGGTGGGTGTGTGTGCCTGTTCTGTATCCTGTAGTTTGTGAAAACTACATTTATTTTCAGCGTTTTCCGTGCATTAATCAAGCGCGGCAACAACTTTTACTCTGCTAGTGTAAGCTTTAAAACTTGCACCCAACTAACTGCAACTGCAACTGCCAGATGCGAAACTCAATTGCCACTTGGCTGAACGCGCGCCCTCTCTTGGGCCGGCGGCTGCCGCTTTTCACTTTAATAGCGCATCCTTTTGAAGGCTTTTGCCATAACCCGCTTTAAGTTTCGCTTTATTTGCCATTATTTATGCATATGCTCTTCATGCTCTGTCGTGACAGAATAAATTGCTCTTAACGCGACAGTTTGTAAAAAAAAAAAAAATTTAAGAACAGAAGGAAGCATTTAAAGTTGGGCCAAACATACAAATAATTTGTACACAAATCACAATCATGTTATCTATACTAATATTATAAAGAGGAAAGGTTAGATAGTTTGTTTATTTGTTTGTTTTAATTGAAAAGGCTCCGAATCTACTGGACCGATTTAATGGATTCTTCACGGTTGGGAAGCTACACTGTCGACGAATGCTGTTAGTTCATAAAATGGTCACTTTAAATATTAAGGCAATAATATTCAAAAGCCCCCAGCCAAATGAAAGATTAGATAATCGATCGACACCGTGCTTAAAACTTGAAGACATTAAATTCACTAAACCCTTCTGGACTGCCGACACATGAATTGGCGGTAAAATTCGGAATCGCTATCATGCTTTTGAGAAATTAAAGCCTTCCAAGCATGTGAAAAGGGAAGAGGCTGCTTATTAAGGAATTGCAGAACAATTTAAGTGTAGCAACTATTATTGACGGCCCAGCAACTGGTCAACTAGCTCATATAACGAGGATACCGATGAATCCATTTGATCATTTATATGGCTTCAATTTCCGGTAGTCCCAAGGCCAAGCCTTCGAATTAGTAGGGATGGACATACGAAAGCAATGTTTTTCGGAGCTCCTGAAAATCAATATATTTTGCTACCACAAAATAAAACGTCACATATCTTTTACAGAGAACCTCTGATCTAATAAAGAATAGCAAATAAAGTCTAAAAACTAACAAAAAATCATTAAAATAATAATATCCAAAATAAATTTTACTCCTTAGTAACTCACAGCAAAAAGAAGGGTGTAAGTGTGTGTGTTTTATAAAATGCATAATTTTTAAAATTTTTGTGAATATAGTATACCTGTGCGAAGCAGGGGCAGGACGCTAGTTTAGCCATAATTCTACACTGAAAGATATTATTATTTAGACCCGAAAGTCGATCCCACAATTTCAAAGATAGGTAATGAGTTGATCCATCAATTTTTTCCCGCAGATGCAAAATTTTTAAGTCAAAACTTTATCCGCTTTAAATCAGACATGATTTCTTGTGACCCTTTGAAGATCGTACCTCATTGGGCTCCCCAACAGACATCTCTAGTGTTTAATTTTTCATAGCCCCATCATTTGGTTTAAATTGATTGCATTTTTTTTTATTAATAATTATAACAGGAAAATTAATATAGAATTAAATAAAAGTTGAAAGAAAAACTTAAGTAATAGGGTTCTTAAATTAGTCGAAGCTAATACTTTTTTTTTTTTTAATTTCGTGTTGCTCTTTTAGTCGTTTCTGATTTCCATGAGATTAATTACTTCAATTGGCAAGTTGGCCTAGCCAGTTGGTGCTAGTTTTGTTGTTGTTGTTGTTGATGTTACTGCTGCCCACAGCTGCTGCATTTTCCCGTCTACCCACTCGAGAGCAAAGCCAACAACCTCCTACTCCCGACTCTTGGAAGCGACACGCGTGCAGACATGCCAACTTGTTTTCCCACCGTATAATTGGCATAATTTGTCTAACAAGAACAGCGGCCACAATGGCAACAACAGCAAGAACAACAACAACAACAATAACTGAAGCCACTACAAAGACGGCCGATTCGAAGTGCTTGTTGTTGCCATTATTGTGGTTCTTCGGGTTTGTTTTGTTGTAACAATATCGAGAAAAGCATCTTGCTTCATAATGCAACATTTAAATGTATTTGAATTGTTTATTGCTGTTGTAATTGCTGTTGTTGTTCCTTCATATTGAGTAGGTTACGTGTACAGGTTGTCATGTCTATGAGCCGGTTTTGGTATTTGGAGACAGAAAAAGGTATTTACAGCATTATCGCATTAGGCATCCAACGCAAGAAAAGCTAAAATCTTGTTGGTATGAGTTGTATTTGTGGTCGAGATATGACAAAAGAAGTCGCAATAAAATTAAACACTCTGAAAATCCCTATAAATATTGTTCGTACTGGCCTAATTCATTTTACTGGCACACTATATAGTATGTGTCTAAAGAAAAGTACTCTACAATTAAGTATACTTTTTTTATACTCGTGTAATATTTATTTATCAAATATAAAAATATTTACTATGCAGAAATTAAAGCTCTAATATCACATTTGAAACTTGATTAAACAATTAACAATTTTTAGCCGTTGCTTAAGAAAAATAACAAATACATTCTGAATAAAACTCTTAAGCAGGACTTTTTAAGAATACGGACTCAACCTCTACCCATCTGATTGTTGCCATCAAAATGGATTAAAGTTAAAGCAATTTTTTTTTTTTTTTTTTTTTTTTTTTTTTTTTGGGGAAAAAGACAAATTACTGAACTCTTTATTCTTTGTTATTGTAAATTGTAAAATATTTTCGATATAATTTTAAGGCCTTGAACCACAAGTCATGAAAGGAAAATGAAGAAGCAAAGCAAACATTACTTTAAGAATATTTTTACGTGTCTAAAACAACAACAATTACTAAAAGAAATATCTTTGAAAATCAATGCCAATCAACAGATTCTTATCAGCAATTAAAAAATAGTAATCTCTTGTCAATATTATCGGTTGAATGTACTTACAAATAAATGTACTTTAAGAAATGCTTGTCGGCCTAGTAACTTTTTAGATGGTTATTAGATGAGAATATTATTAATTTATGCTGGCCTGTTCTACTTTTGCAACTTTGACGATTGCGCCCTTTTCGAAGCAACTTCTAATTGTGTTGCCAATCCTTTGTGTCACTCCACCTGCACGTCAGCTTTTCATTGTTGTTGACATTGTTTTCATTTTCACGCTCAGGCAGCGTTGACGCAATTATCGCCATGGCGATGGTGATTGCGATGGCGATGTCGTAGGTGTTGGCGCCGCTTCCCCGCGTCTTTCCTTCCTCTCCCAGGCAGCCAGCCAGCCAGCCAGCCATTCTATTCATAACAATTATTGTTCAAATTGCGGTTGTTATTGTTGTCGTTGTCGCTGTTGCTGTTGCTGTCGTGTGTCGTGAGCGCCTCTGCACGTGGCGCTTCAAAGTCGCGCGAAACATTTTGCCGCACATAATTAACATTTATGTATGCAGAGTTAGCCGACGATGCCTCAGGTAAACTAGTTTGTCATTTGTCTGCGCAAATTGTAATCATTAGCGGGAAATTATAGTTATTTAATGGCTAAGGCGTGAATGTCTTAATGGAAATGTTATACCTCTTTGCCTCTTAAGCTTAACAAGCGCTCGCCCCTGCTCAAGTGCAGATTACAATGCGACAAATGATGATGGCTGAGGGCAGCAGCGTCGGTGCAAGGACACGAGGCAGAATGACCCCAGCCTTGGCGCACTGTTGACGCTCTTATAAAAATAGCTACAGAGTGGACAGCAAAGCGGCCATGAGTGGCGCATTATGTTCAACAACACTATCATCATCATCATCGTCATTGTCGTCACAGCACCAGCTTTGTTGGCCATTTTGTGCGCCATAAATTCGTTATGAGGTAGCAACTACTTGCTGTGGCTGTGGCTGAGGCTGGGGAGGGGGCCTTTCGCTTCCTGTGCAACGTGTTCGTGGACGTGCCATTAAATCAATATCATGTGCATGCACCAAATAAATCTGTGCTATTTAAATATTTAACAGCTGATGCTGCAGCACTCATGCCATGCTCTCGACGCATTAGAGATGTGCGTGAATGTGCGTGATCGTGAAAGCATTTAATAACTAGAGAAAAAGCTACAGTTGCGCAAGCCCAGAAGGGACAAATTTCCGGCACTGAGTTGATAGCAGAAGCAACAACAATAATAAGATTATGGGCGTAGTACTGGAGTGAAATTGTTTCGCTAATAACTTTTCTTAAAGTTCATCTTATGGATGAAATTGGAGAAACTAGAGATAATTGAGAATCGTATATTGTTTACGTGTACAAAGTCCGGCTTATTTATCTTTCGAAATGTGGGCTGTGCTGAAGAAATTCTGTAGCGGGAAGGGGAGGCGAAAAAAATAATTAACTCGTGACGCCTGGATATTAGGAGAGTCTACATACCAAGTTTGTTTAATGTGGGCACAACCGTCTCAAAAATCCAGGCGTTCATTCAGACAAACATGAGGCCATCGATTCGTCTGGTCATGTTAATTAAGAATATATATATACGTGTGTATATATATATTTTATGGGTCTGGAGAAGCCTCCTACGTACATTATCACGTAACTAATATATCCTTTTTACCCTACGTGAAAACTGTGAAATTAAAGAGCTCACTTAAACTCACAGAATTACAAAATCACAAAAAATCAAAGAAATTGGTCCCAATGTTGTCCCACAATTGTGACGCCCTTTTTTCTTTCACGCGCTCAGCTCTATGTTGTGTGCAACGTTTCGACGTATACGTGATATTTGGACGGTTGGCCAGACGGCACGTTTGTTATCACAGCACCGGCATCTCCGACTCCGACTCTGCTCGCTTATCAGCCACTGACACACACACACAACAAGCTTAACAATGGCATCCCACACATGATCAGCGCCATCTATTTTCGATTCTCTCAGCGCATTTTATCTGCAATCTTTTGCTTTTATCACCATTGTCAGTCATGGTCACACGGCTGCTTGCTTGGTTGCCTGTGCATTTTCAAAGCAACAACAACAACACCAACAAGAAGAAGGGTAATAATAACTTTGGTTCCGATAAGATAAGTAAGTTGAGGGCGCATAGGCATTCATCTTTATGGTCTCGTGCGGCGCTGACTTGTAAGTCCAGCCGCTTGACTGGAGCACGGCCTGCCTGTAAATCACGTGTGTTCCCTGCCACTACTACTGTTCTACTTATTTACAAAAAGCATTACAAAGTGTCGCACGCACCTGGATTTTAGGCACACATTTGGGGCAAATGTGGCGCATTTCAAGTTTACCTTTCTCTAGTTTTTGTCAACAATTGTTGCTGTTGCTTCTGCTCGGCTGTTCTCTTACTTTTATTCCAGTATTATTATTTTATGCCTTTTGAATCGCGCACTATCTGTGCATTTGTTTACCTCATCGCTTCGTCGTCGTACGTTATTTGGTGTTGACATAAGAGTCTGTTGACATTATGATAAGATTTAGCTATTCACACTGGCATACTGCATTTCTTGTTCTTTCTGAGTGAATTGCCGAATAGATATACCTATACATACATATCGGATATATAGTATGAGCTATTCGTAGGAACTATTTTTAAATGCAATCACTTTTCAGATTTCTATTGTAGAAAACTGTTATACACTGGAAAAGGTGCGACTTTCTGAATTTACTATTCTTTAAAAAAGACTATATTTTGTGCAATTGGTTTGAAAGAATTCCAAAAAATTCGTAACAGTAGTAAATTTATATTTTTTTATAATTCAGTATATCTGATGGGTGTAAGGATCTTTCTATTTATGGGAGGGTTCTGCTTAGAAAATGACAATTATATGGAAACAATTTAGAAAACAAGTGTTATACGATATGAAATCATTTGATCCATGAATTCAAGAATTTTTCAAGTTATCCGTTGGATAACTAACTAGAACAACAGACAACAACTGTATAGCTATTTCGAAATTCGCCAATAAAAAAACACTGACCCATTTATGATTTAATACAAATTATGAACACAGCTTTGGAAACAACTTAGAATACATAAGGGCTTACAAGCAAGCATTTAGCGACATTTTTAATATATACATTTTCAAAAAACTGTTATACAAGTATTACGTGGAAGGGCTAAGTAGAAGAACAATTTATAAACAATATTAATTAGTGATCCTTCATTTATATGCCAAGCAGATATATATAATCTATTATTGGTGTTAGCGAACGTTCTGTTATATACATTATAAAAGTTGTATACTCAGCGGGTTAAAGCTCTAAATAAATGGTCTTTTATTTATAGACCAGACAGCTATGCTTTAAGTGGTTAAAATGCAATAACAAATTTCATATTATTATATCAGTTAGATATTATTTAACTGTTATACAAACTGTTATAAAAAATGTTGATAAATGAGGGAGGGGAAATAATGGTTACAATACAAATTTATATTTTTTAATTCCTACGCTGCTTCTTTGGGAGATTGGGGAAGAATTATTTGCTAGTCCGGTCGATACCTAAAAGGGGGCTCTTTTCAGCTTTTTGGTCTGTTAGTTTTGTACGTGTAGCGCATACGTAAGCAACCTCTGTCTGGGCAAAAACTCAATAAACCATTTGTCGATAACAATTACCCTATCAGTAGAACAAATAAGCAAACGCAAAATGGTTTTCCAATGTCGGGCCGAGCCATCGTCACTTTTTTGCTCTTCCGTTCGAGGCGTGCTCTTTGCCAGCCCCGCCAAAGACCGCGAACGTGTGAGCTGGCAATAGCTTCAGCAACCAACCAACGAATCAATTTGGCAAAGTCCAAGTGACTTATTATTTTGGTTTGGGTTTCGTTGGTGTTTAGTCGCGTCGTCGAAGACTTTCTCGCAAGGTGTGCGAAAAACGAAATTGAATAAAAGAAGAGCCATAAAGTTGCCATGAAAAATAATAAACAAATTTCATTGCCAAAAGTGAAAATTGTCTTTGGTATTGCCGCGAAAGTCTCAGCAAATTGTTGGTTAAGGAAAATGGCGCAGGTAATTGAATCCATTGAACGTTTCAGTTCAGTTGCCACAATTGATTTCTATTTTTCTTTTCAATTTGGGCGATGGCCGTACACTTAGTCATCATCAAACAGGCATTATTATTAAATTCTCTTTCTTCTTCTTCTCTCTTCCCTCTTTCTCCCTCTGTATTCTGACAGTCAAATTATGGAGAAGCCCATGCAACATGCGCCCGCTCCCGTGGGTAAGGTCACACAGATTGCGAACATCTTTCAGCGGAAACCCATTGAGATTCAGCCAGTGGAGCAACTGAGTGCTGTGGCTGCCGCTCACGCAGCGGCCCATGCAGCTGCCACCGCTGCCGCCGGTGGGGTCCAGCCGGGGAACGTGGTACGCACCGAATCCCATTCGGCACGCTTCAATAACGCACGCGCTCTCTTCGAGAAACTGGGCGTCGAATCCAACTCTAATGTAAGTGGACGGCTGCTGCGCTCCGGCTCCCGAGAGGATAACCTGTGCGATAGTTCAGATCGTTCATCGTCGCGCTCTTCGGATCGCTCGCAGTCGCCGCCAAAGCGTCGCACACCCTTTCCATCGGGTGCCTCGCTGGTGAATAACAATTGTGCCCAGAACGGTGGCGAACGCGTGCCCAACAACAAATTCATTGTCGAGCCCACGCCTCCGCCAACAAGCAAGTTTCCGCAGCATAATCTGTCACGTCTGAAGTCGGAGGATTCGGCCCCGGTGGGCGTTGCGGGCTCGGTAAGCGCTCTGTTCGCGTCCAATGCCGAGAAGCCAGAGAAGCCCGAGCGCAAATTTAACTCACGTGAATTGATTGAGAAACAGAAGAAGTGGACTTCACATTTCACCAAAACCAAATCGCCACGAACGCATAGCGATTTAAATCGCTGCGACATTATACGTACGGTTCCGGGCACGGGTCTCATTACCGGAGCTGCTGTCAATCAACGCCAAGAGGAGAAGGCACAGACGCCGCCAGCGCATCACAAACTGCCCATGGAGTTGCGATCGCCAGTGCCGCGACAAACTGACCAGTCAATACCCCCCAGTCCGCCGGTGCGTCACGCCCCCGTTGCGGCGGCTCCAGTGGCTAATGCCCCGCCCGAAATAAAGCCGCGCAGTGGCAAAATCGGCAGCCCCGTGAAGTCGCCCCCATTGCCGCCCATACCGGCGGCCAAGCCAAAGAACGTTAGTCCCGTCAAGTTCAATGCGGATCGCGTGCGCTCGCCCACAAAATGTTCGGAGCCGCCGCCACCGCCGCCCGCGAAATCGGCGGCCGTGACAGCGGCCATGCAGCGGTCGCTGCTGCAGGAGCAGGAGCGCGAGCGTGAAGCACCTGTGCCGCCGGAGAAGCCGCGCAAGAAATCCATCGATCTCATTGAGGATGCCGCGCCCACCACCTGCTCAACGCCCTCCTCCTGCGCCTCGCCCACTTCCTCACTGAGCACGCACAGCGCCTACTTGCAGGCGGCGAAGCGGGGATCAATTGACAGCCTGGGCGGCGGAAGCTCGGGTCCTGGGACCACCCACATCACTGGGAACGGACTGAGCGGCAGCACCAATTCGGCCGCCTCACCTTCGCCAGTGGCCAGCGCCTCGTCCGGCCCGTCATCGCCAGTCCACACCGAGGATGAGAAGCAGGAGAACGAGTCGACTGAGAAATCGGAAATGGAGCACTACTATAATAGCATGCCGCGACGTCGGCGCAGCGAAAATGAAGGTAAGTCCCCAAATGCCATGTAAAACTTTGAACTTCTGGGTTCAAACACCTTCGTGCTGGCGATGTCACGTTGTGCTTTGAACTCGACGGACGCGCACAAAAACACACATCTACAGTGGGGCAGACACGGAGACGAAGACGGACACGGACACGGACCGTGCATTGTATGCGCTTGCGGCCGTTTATCCCACATTCATTACAAGATTCTTAGCAGTAACTGTACCCTCGTCCCCATCCCCATCCCCATTCTCCTCCTCCCATTCACAAAGCCACTGCACAGTGGTTATGGAATCCACTCAACTATATATTATATATATATATATAACTTTGGAAAGTATCATACATATATGAACCAATTTCAAGATCAGAGAATCAAAATAAATCTGGAACTTTGTCAAAGTACCATACACGGTTTTGAAATTCAAATAAGCCTTTCCCTTCTAATGCCCTGTGCAGGTGCATTACGATCCAATCCAAACTATATTATCAAATGAAAGCTTTATAAGAGGAAATTACCTTAGAGTTGCGTTATGTGGTCTTTCAGTTGAAATATTAATGGTTAGATAACCATAAGCCACCACTTGTTTATTAATCCGCACGCGGAAGTGCTCGAGGTTAGGTTATTTTGTATTTGTAAATATTGTTAAGGTTCCTAATCTGAATGAACGGATTCAATGCTGAGATCAGATATATAAATATTAGACTACTTATTACATTCGAAATATATTTAACTGATAGCTGCGGATTTTAAAGAAACAAAACATCGGAAAGTTGTATCTGCTGTTGATGTAGGCAGAATGTTTCATCTGCAGACCACATAAAGAACATCTAGGTCGCTGAATTCTTTTAAAATGGAGAATCCAAGTATATTTTTTTATATTTAGATTTGAATAAATTATTTGTCTATGTATCTCTAAAATTAACCTCTAATCAACCTAGAGAATCGCATTGCATCGCCTTTGCCAAGGAATTGTTATAAGCTATTTATTACACTTATATCTTAAATATTACAAGAAGAAGAGTCCCAGAAAACGATTCTTTAATGAGTTTAATGAGTTATGCCCACAATTACATACACAAGTTGTATTCCGAATAGACGCTTAGATAATTGTTGTTTGGACATTTGTTTAAATTTGAAATGAATGTGGCAGAAATATTTGGCAGCTATTTGAAAACCAATAAAGTGCTTTATTTTTATAACAAATTTGACCGCCATATGCGGATTGAATTTCGCAAAACCACTTCGGTAGTAATTCAATTCGGTGTGAGTACAAAAATATATACAAATTTCACAAAGGACAAACAAACACAGTTTGCTTTTCAAGATATACTTGTGTGTGGTATGTTCAGTTTAAGATTTCTTCAAAAGTTTTTCAGTTATAGCAGCAATAATGTTATAGTTGTGTAACTTAAGGACACGGAGCTATAGCTTGTTCTTACTGTTCTTATGTGGATTTCACATCGCATAGGAACATTTAATAAATAAATAAAATAAAATAAAATAGTTATAAGAAATGAGGAGGTCCGTTTCGAAATATATAGACAAGCTCTCTACGATTGTAGTACAGTTTTCTCTCAATCTGACCCACTGTGCACAGCACGGCCGGGTTCTAAGCACAACTCGTGACTTGCCTAGACTGTGCCCCTTCTTCTTCTTCTTCTTCATCATATTCTCTTCACTGCACTCGGCTTCAGTTTGTTTGGCTTGGCGCGGCTTTGAGGCAAATTCCAATATGGGTCAAACAGCAAGCATATCAAATGCAGCAACAGCGACTTCCCCCGCATCCCCCCTTATACCCCTCAGGCCCCCCATTCGCCTCATTGCCTCACCAGCCACGACCCACCACAGCCCTCCAGAACGACAACATTCCAAGCGTTGTGCCATCCTCGTCGTCTCGATGTCGTCGTCGTCGACGTCGACGTCGCCAGTTTCTGAATGCAATTCTCGAGCGCAGTGGCCACAATCTGTCGTCACCCATCTACATGGAGCGTCCGATGTCCGATGTCCGTCGTGCGTCCGTGTTTTGCGGATTTTGTTGGGATTCTCTTGCCAGCTCAGTCGCTGCTCCTCGCATGCATTCCCACCATGCATTCGGCTCGACTCGGCTCGGCTCCATACATAAAATTGTATTAATGCCAGATTAAGAATTCAATGATGCGTTCGTTCTCTTCTTCATGCCTTCGCTTTCTGCGCTTTTTCTACTGCCTCTTCTGTCTGTCTGTCTGTCTGTTTGTCTGTCTGTCTGTCTGCTTCATTGCTGATTACAAAATTGGAATTTGCACGCTGCGCTTCCGCCTGCCACGCTGCCTGCCAATAGCCCAACTGGCCCTGGCTTTTGGAGACTGCTCCAACATCTGCTGCAGCTGCTTCTTATCGACGTCGCCGTCTGTTGCCGAGGACTGTTGTTCCTCTTTTTGTTGTTGTTGAGATGAGGGAACGGTGTCGGTTAATGTGCCTATAACATTTTAATTCATAATGGTGGTGGGCGTGTCTATAGCTCTTGATTTATTGATAACTATACGGCAGCAGAATGCAGCGCTGAAAGATTAACGCAACTCTCGTGCATTCTTCATTCTGTTCGGCTCAAGTTGTAAACTAGGCTTCGTTCCCACGAAGAAGCTATATAACAAAAATATTGATGAATCGAAAATTGTCACACTATTGTTTAATTATTTATTTCTTAAACATAGGTAAACAAGAAGTTTATCTGAGAAAGAAATGCGTAAACAAGTTTAATCATGATATCGAATTGTGTCAAATTTCGTGTCAGCATCTGGAGGGGATTACCTTGAAGACGATAGATGTTTAGTTTGAAAGTTGTAACCCATTTCGGATCATATTTTTACACAGAGCAGATGAGTGCGTAATTGTAATCAATATTCAAATGTTTTCTTCGTTTAAGATGAGGAAAGATCATTCGAATCGCAAAGTACACAATTGATATTTGCTTACATTCATAGTTCGTTGCTGTTCATTTATGCGCGCCTATTACCGCTCTATTCTATTTCGTCACAGAAAAGGTTGCCCATCCAGCATTCAAGACGCTCACAAAAGAAATTTAAACTGGAATTAGTATCGCTGAGTTTAAAAGTTCCTGGCAGTCTTGGAGTGCAATGCTGTTGCCTCTGAATACCAATTGGCTCTTAATAGCTATAATAGAGCGATAAAGTGATTTCCTTTGATTTATAGAACTCCAGAGATCACTTTATTGCCCGTATATATTGCCTATATCCACATATCATTCACATTTCCGCTACCGAGCTTTCTGAAATTATGCATTTTATTATGATGTCCCGACTCTTTCTGCTTTACTTTCTAACCCTCTCTATACGCAGGCCACACACACACCTTAAAAACAATTTTACGGGTGTCAGCAGCAAACAACAACAACAACAACAGGGACAACAAAAACAATCAGAACAGCCTAACAGCAGCCAGAAATATGCATGCGGCGGCATGTTGACCCCAAAAACAACATTTATTGCATTTTTCGATTTGCTGACACAGCCCGCGCCACATGTTTAGCGCCAGGCTAGGCCTATGCCTCAAAGACCAACACACACACACAGCCAGACAGACAGACAGACACACAGATGTGTGTATACTTATGGTCTGTCTCTCAGCAACTGTCATGAACAGAACATGACAACAACACATGTACTATGCCTACATATGTATATGAATGGTTGAGTGTGTGTGTGTGTGCCCAGACCCATTTTCTATGGGCGCTTGTCACATGAGTTTATAAATAAAACGGAAAATACTATTTGAGCGCTATAATAATACAGAGAGAGAAGGGAGCAAAAGGCGGCTGCAAACCCTTGGCGCTCGGCGTATTTGCCTATAAATTATGCCCCTGCCATAAAATAGAAGCAACAGAGAATGCTACAGTCGAGCAAGCCCTACAATAAAATACCCTGCAGCAAGAAGAAGAGCAATCCTGGAGCACAATTCTTTACGCTTCAAACTTGTCTTAGGACATGCATATTTTTAACGTGTGCCAAGTTTTGTTAATGTAGCGTTGACAATGTGGACAGTGTTGACGAAACTCGACGAAAATTTAATAAACTTGTAATGTCTGTGGCCCAGAAGAGTCTACATACCAAGTTTGGTCAAAATAGGATCAGCCGTTTACGAAATCTAGGCGTTCATACGGACGGACATATCAGTTTTTCTTTATCCTTTGCGGGGCCGGAGATACAGAGTATACACAGTGTACTTCGTTTCATCTGCAACAACACACATAAACTGAGAGACATAATAAGAGAGGGGAGACAGAGGGGCTGAGAGCGCGTGCGAGGGCGGGCAGCCACTGAGCTCTCCATCTGCATAAATGTACGCTTGTGTGTGTGTGTCTGTCGCTTTTCGTTAATCCAAAACGGAAGGTATTATTTATCATAATTAAAGCCCATTCAAATATTGACAATTTGTTATTGTTGCTGCCTCTAAATGGGTAAGCAAGTTGGTAGGGGCGTGTGGTGGCTTTGGTTGTCAGTCAGTCTGTACATGCGAATACATATAATTCCCATGGATGATAATTTGGTGGATAATATTATGTGGGCGGGATGGATTGTGAATTCAAATCACGCGCTCGTCCTGATTTGAATGAAAGACTATTAAATTATTATTACTATGGCATCATTTCAATTGTGATAGTGAATAATGCATATGGAATCAAGTACTGATAAGTTGGGTGCAATGAAAAATTCAAGCTTAAATTTTGCAACTTTATAAGAGCGAACAAATTCAAAAACTTGTACTACAATACTCACTGCATTTAGACATTTAAAATTAAAGCTAAACTTACGAGATAATGCACGATTATTAGCATTGCCAAGCTGCTTGCTCTTTCATTCATTCATTGCCTTTAAACATTTAATTTATTAAAAACCAAAAATGTGCACACACGAGTAATAGCAAAAGCAACAATCTGGGTTTTTTTAAATTACATTTTTCGCATGATTTTCTATAAAAAAGGGAGTATTAACAACAATTAAAT